GGAATCAAGAATGAGGCTCAGGTTTGGGTCTTAAACAACTGGGGAGATGAGGATGTGACTCAGCAAGGAGGAAAAGTGGAGGATGGCAAGTTTTGAAGGGAGATAATTTTGGCTGTGGATTCCATGAGTTTGAGGTTCCAGTGGACCATGGAAGTAGAGATATTCAGTACATGGATTGCAACACGGAGCCAAAAAATACAGTTTTGGCAACTTAAGGGTAAAAAGGAAAGTATTTAATCAATGAGCAAGTCCAGGGAGAGGGTTCAGAGAGAAGGGAGCTGGGGGAAAAGACGGACCCTCAGAGAGGCAGAAGAACCAAGAGGTTCCTAAGAACCAGCAGCAGAAATGGGAGTTCTGGCAAGGAATCTTAGGGAGGAGAGGACGTTTAGGAGAGGAGTGAGCAACAGTAGAAATAATGTTGACAACTCAAGTAAGAGCAGAAGAGGGAAGGGCCCACTCGGCACTTTCAAGAGGGCTGCTTTGATGGGCCTGGTTGATGTGGGCTGAGGAGTGAGTGAGGTAAGGACGTGAGGAGACAATGAGTGAATACAAGAAGCTCAACTGTGAAGAGGAGGAGGCAGCATGGGAGAATCCAGAAGCAGTTTCTAAGATGGGAGTGACCTGAACATATTTAAATGCTTCTTAAGGCTAACCTAATTCTACTCTATATCTTCACTTCCGCAGGCCCGAGGCACGAATGATTCAATGCCTTAGACCTGAAATGTATAGCAATTCTTTAAAAAAAAAAAAAAAATGCTTCTTAGAAGCAGCCAGTAGACGGGAGAGAATGAAAAGAGTGGTATTTCAATATTGACGGCTCAAAGCTTAATGTGACTAATACTGAACTCACAATACCCCAACGCCCACCTCCAAACATTCTTTCTCATGGCTCCCATCTCAACCAATGCCCTGGTTATCTATTCAGCACCCTGGATAGCGCCCCATCCCCCGCCGCCCCAAAGCCATCTCTGTATTTTCAGTCCCCCTCAGATCTCATCAATCACTGATTTTTGTCAACACTAACTTCTAAATATTTGATTCTGTCTACTTTTCCTAAAGCCACTTCCCCAGTTCAGACCTATATCCCCTTCTATATGGACCACTGATATTGTCTAAATGGAGTCTATAAATCTCCCAGCTTTGAATTCTCACAGCTTCCAAAGTTTTCTGCATATATTGATCCAGTCACATCACTTTTATTCTAAAAACATTTCAGAAGGCTGGCCATCTTCTGAGAGGTGACATCCACCTGGCCTTGCCCACCCTCAAGATTGGCTGGAATCTAACCATCCCTGAGCTCCGCCAGCTCTAGCTTTTGTCTTTGCTTCTCTCCCATATGCGTTCTTAGGGTGCCCTACAAGATTTTGCTCCATGGGGAAATGCCATGCGCTGTCACATCCCCAAGTCTAGGTTCATGCTGGTCCCTCTTCCTGGGACTCCTGGGCCTGAATTCTGCAGGCCCAGCTCAAATGCCACCTTTTCCTTCAAGCCTTCCTTGACCTCTCCCTCTACAGCTCAAATCACATCACTGCATGAATCACTCCTTACTGTACCTCTTCAAGGATGTGGTAGCAGGCATCACATACTGATAATCATGGACTTGTTTGCACATCAGATACCTCCTAACACATACACTGGAAGCAGAGACAATACAACGGATTCATCCTCACACACAGTAGATATCAGTATGTTGTTAGAGGAATCACACTGAATAATGGAGAAATTGATTTCATGTAACCAAAGCAATTTCCACCACTCGTCATCATGGAACTGGATGAACTGGTTACAATTAAGTAAATCCAAGAATCACCTTGAATAACAGGTGGCTTCCTGGTTTTGCTGGTCACCTACTGGGAGGTAAGAGCTTGCTGTCTTCTCATTGCTGCAGCTTTGCTCTAGCTGAGTTCTAAGGCTTAGGGCTTGTCTGCGTCAGTCCATTTTATCCACCCAGCAAATGATGTCCAGCATGAGGCCCATGCTAGGCACTGGGTACACATAAATGAATAAGAGTTGTGCCATTAGGGTGCCGCAGTTTAACAATCAAAACAGTGAATACTTATCTACTAATGATTCTGGTCAGACATCATGTTTTTCACTCGGTCCTCACAAAAATGCTGCCAAGTAGGTGGTACTGCTTCCATACTAGGAAGAGGAAACTTGAGGCTCAGAGAGTCCAAATCACTTGCCCAAGGAAAACCTGTAATGGACTGTTGCTTTGGTGGTCCCCAGTGAGACATGCCTCCCAGTATTCCTGTCCTTATGTGCTCTCCTCCCACACTGACTCAGGGATTGGCCATATGACTTGCTTTGGCCAACTGGACATTTGCAAGCCTGACGCAGGCAGAAGCTTGATCAGCAGTTGTAACTTAGGACTTGTCCTCTTGGAATGCTCCCTCTTGGGATCCAGTTGCCACATAAGAAACTTGGGCTAGACTAGCAAATGATTAGATGCCACATGTATTGAGACCCTGGAGAATGAGAGGCTATTTTGTTGTCCCTCTCCTATTAGTTTCTCAACATAATGCAGCTGTGTGAGAGTCCATGTGAGAACAGCAGGGCCCACAGCCACAGTCACAGTCACAGCTGACCCACAGGCCATGAAGGAATAATAAATCACTGTTGTTTTAAATCCAGAAATTCTGGGGTGGTCTGTTACAACCTAATGAATAACTAAAACCATGATAAAGTAGGATATGAACCCAGTACTAAGTGACGACCAAAGCTCATGCCCTTGGTCTCCACATTGTGCTCCTTCTGATTGGGAACATCATGCTAACACTGTAATATACACAATAACACTGTAATATACCATGCATATGCCCATGGTAACATGCAATAATTTTTTTTATGTTTTTGAGACAGAGTTTCACTCTTGTTGTCCAGGCTGGAGTACAATGGCATCTCGGCTCACCCCAACCTCTGCCTCCCAAGTTCAAGCAATTCTCCTGCCTCAGTCTCCTGGGTAGTTGGGATTACAGGCATGCACAACCGCACCAGCTAGTTTTTGTATTTTTAGTAGAGATGGAGTTTCTCCATGTTGGTCAGGCTGGTCTCGAACTCCTGACCTCAGGTGATCAGCCCGCCTTGGCATCCCAAAGTGCTGGGATTACAGGTGTGAGCCACTGCGCCTGGCCTCATATTTGTTAAATGAATGGATAAAGGGTGTGATAGGTCACCAGAGAGGTAAAGAGATCTAGGGAATTCAAAGGCAGGATGGTAATTACTTTTCAACAACCATCACTCCCTTCCCATTACAAATATTCCAAAACAAAGCTGGGCACAGTGTCCATAATCCTACCACTTCAGGAGGCTGAGGCAGGAGGACTTGAGCCCAGGAGTTTGAGACCAGACTGGGCAACACAGGGAGACCCTGTCTCTACCAAAAGAAAAAAAAAAGTAGGCAGGTGTGGTGGCATATGCCTGTGGTCCCAGCTACTTGGGAGACTGAGGTGGGAGGATCGGTTGGGCCCGGGAGGTCAAGGCTGCAGTGAGCTATGATCACTCCACTGCACTCCAGCCTTGGTGACAGAGCAAGAGCCTGTCTAAAACAAACAAATATTCCAAAACAAAAACTAAAATGAAGCCATATAGGCATTCCTAAATCTAGAAACAACTGTGTGGATATCACCAAACTCCCTCTCTGTGTCTGTCTCTTTCTCTGTGAAATTCAGATCAGGCAAAATTGAGAAGGTAATAGAGTTTGTTTTCTGGTGGCCCTGCCTCTCTGCCCCCAACTCCCCATCACATTCATGGCATCTTCTCTCCGTCCCACTTGGCCTTCAGGGCCCAACAGTTCTTTCCCTCTCTTCCCATGTAAAATCCACATGCAGAAAAGGGGCTGAGAAGGTGGAAATTACAGAAATGGGGAAGGAAGATTTGGATGTTAACAGATGGATTTACAAGCCAAAGAAATGAAGCTCTAAGCTGGATACTTTTAGGAGGCATCTGCCAGCAGGTGGAGGTATCCTAAGGATGGGGGAGGCAGCTGGAGTTGTCCCTATTATACCCCTATTAGGCCCCTGTGGGTGGGGAGTAAAGGAATGCCCACTGCCTCTATAAATCCCTCTGAATCCCCCAAGAAGGCTGGGGCTCTGACTCTCCACACCTGTGGCTGTGGCCCCAACATGTATACCTCCCAGAGTAGTCACTCCAGCCTGGCAAAGACCCTCAGGGGTCAATACATCCAGTCCTCTGCCTTCTGGCAGCCCTGGCACTGCTTTTTCTGTTCTAAGCCCTCCCTTACTCTCCTGCTCCTGCAAACAGGCACACACCTCCCAAGGTCACACACAGGCTCCAGAACCTGGATCCCACACCCAGAAAACCATCTGGGTCCCTCGCTGCAGAGAGACCTAAGGAGAGAGCAGGCCCACACAGTACTCGCCGGCAGACTGTGGGCAGTGCACACAGGCCCCGTGTCACACACACTCACATGCAAAGCAATGCAGAGGGGCGCACACATTCAGAGACACTGTGAGCACTGTCACCAGTACAGGCACTGGATGTAAAGAGTCAGAAACATGCGTGCACACACATGCACACCTCCAGAGTATCACACGTGCACACCAGCACGCACTGACACCCGCACAGGTGCCCAGCCAGGCCTCAACACCAGGCCCCTCCCCCAGCCCCTCAGAAGCCGGCAGGGAGGGCTGGGGTTTCAGGGCGCTTCCCCTCCTCCCTCCCTCTGGCCCCTGTTCTCCAAGGTCCAGAGTCCCAGTGGGGTTCTGGAGCCCGCCCCCGCCCCAAAACCTGGCTCAGGGAGCGACAGGCGAGAGGGGGGAGGGGAAGCCTGATCTCAAAACGTTCTGATTTTAATTTCTTAAATTAACCCCTTCCCTTCCTCTGGTCTGGCCTGCCCAGAATCCCTCCCGGTTGGGCGGCCTCGCGGGCCTCCGGAGGGCTGTAGGGGAGAAGGAAGGGGAAGAAGGCACAGTGGCTGGGGTCCTCCCTCCTTCCCTCTCCAGGAGCAGTCCCGCAGCGTGCCCGCAACTCGCCCTTACCTCCTCCACCCCGCAGCGAGGCCAGGCCCAGCGGCCCAGGGCTGGGGGGCGCAGAAGAGCCCCCGCGCGCCCGGTCCAGACGCAGGGCCGCCTCGGGGCCTCGGATCTCGTTCCCCTCCGCAGCCTCGGGTGGCGGCCGCGGCTAGCGCCCCCGCCTCCCTGTCGGGGCGGGGGCCGCCGAGCCTCCCAGCCAGTCGCAGCGGGAGGGGCGCACGAACCCGGCGGGAGGAAGGATGGAGGAGGAGGAGGAGGAGGGGGAGGAGGGGGCGCGCGGCCCGAGGAAAGCAGGGGAAGGGGGAGGGAGGCAGCACGGAGGTGGGGCGGAGCCAGCCCCTCCTCCGGGGCGGGCTCTCCAGCGAGCTGGGGAGCGGCAGATGCGGCCAGAAGCGGCTGCGCCGGGACCCCACGTTTTCCGCTCAAGGTGGTTTCGATGGGGGAGGGGTCTTCGGCGCCGCCCTGGGGGTGCAGGGACAGCTCGCGCCGCGCTTCTCCCGGATCCCAGTCTTCCCGGCTCCCGGCACCGCCCAGTGCACTCCCCGCCCTGGGCACCTCCAGCTGTGGCTTCTGTTGCCCACCTTGAATCAGGGCCTCTCCACCCTAACCCTACCACTCTGGCTTGGGACTGCTTCCACGCGGCGGCAAATCCGGGGGTGGGCTGTTCTGTGAATCCGGAAGGGGGCGGGCGCGGGCGCTACTCCTGAGACTTGCGCCACGATCCTAAGCGGCCTCATGGGCAGCGCGCCTGGGTAGTGCACTCGGCGACCTCGGGTCAGACGCTTGGTCTCCGCGGAGACCGCCTGGGATGATGCCCTCTGGGCATTCCTAAGGAACCAGCGGAGCTGGGGCCGGACCCCATCCGGGGACCCAATTCTGCTCTTAAAGAGCCGCCTAGGAACACGTGTACCCATCACAAATCCCATCCCGGACCTAGAGGAGGAGGAAAAGGCCTCCAGGTCCCTGATTCCCTCCTACCCACTCCCACCACTTGGCTAGGAGAGCAGCCAGGCTTCTTGGGACTGGAGCACCCAGAGGGCCCCACCTTTGGCCTAAGGCCTACCCAGCTGGTGAGGCAGGAACAATCTGGCTGTCGTGCGCTTGGAGGAAGTCCACAGGGCTGTAGTGGGGCTGAGAAACAGGTTTGGAGGCTACTAAGGCCAGAGCAGAGCTGAGGCTTGGATGAGAAAAGGGGAAAGTGTTATTTCAGCCTGAGGGTGGTGCTTGGGCAGGGCTGTGCACATTGCCTTGAGGGGCAGTCTGGTTGCAGGAAAGCAGAAACCCAACTTAGTCCCAGGATTCCAGTAACTCTGGGGCTCATGGGAACTCTCTTTGATCCCCATCCCATTCCTGTGAAGGCAGAGGCATTGGGACATTCAATATCAGGAAGGAAAATTTGTAAACTTGTCAGTGGCTTTGGGGGAATGGCAAATTTAATAAGGACAGAGGCTGTACAGTGGCCAATCAGGTCGAATTCCCCCTCTCTTGATCTTCTCTTTCTCTCTATAGCTCTTGAATTTCTTTATTCCTCGAGGAAGTCTTCCAAGATTGGGCAAATGAGAAATCACTTTTCCTAATACCTAAACGATAACAGCTCCTATTAACCAGGTGCCAAGCATGATGCTAATACTTTTTATGCATATCATTTACTCTTCCTAATATTATTATCCCCACTTTGCAGGTGAAGCCGCTAAAGTTCAGAGCTCAAAAAATGGCATAGTCAGGATTTGAACTCAAGTCATCAAACTCCAAAGTCTATGCTCAACCATAGTGCTCTCCTGCCTTCTCTCTATAATAAAGTCCACTGGACCTTCACCTGTTAAAATGCAGATTCCCCAAATTCATCTGCTCTTGCAGATGGCCAAAAATGTCCGTATATTTTCTTGGTTTAACCTTTGTTGTTGTGATGTTTCTCCTCACTCTGTGAATCCTGTGAATGTGTCAAAACAATTTGGGACATGCACGGCTATGTATGTGTGTGCTTTTGTGCATGTGTGCATGAGTATGTGTGGATGTGTGTGTATGCAGTTGTACACAGGTGCATGTGTGTATCTGTGAGCACATGCATGCATGCATGTGTGTATGTGTGTGTATGAGTTCATGCGTGTGTATTTGCACGTGTGCATGTGTGTGTGCATATGTCTATGAATGTATGCATGTGTATTTGTGCGCATGTGTGCCCATGCTACATTTCACAGATAACAGTTCCTGCTTGGTTGTTATGGGAACCACAGTTCTAAAAATGTTAAACTGAATCCCACTCCATGTGAACCAGAGAAACCAAAAGAGAGTGAGAGCTCAGTGACGGAGACACCTCTGGGGTCCCAGAGCTGAGGCAGAGAATTGTGGGCTCAGGAAGAGTGGAAAGACCCAGACTAGCCAGAGGTGTAGACCCACTCATGAGACCTATGGTGCCCATCAGAGCCCCTCGCTGCAGACTCGGTCCTCAGTCCTGCTTTTTCCCATCTCTCCCTCCTGATCCTTTCTCCTCCCTCTCTCTTTGCCAGCTTCATGCTCTCCAACCACCTTCCTTCTCTTCCTCCTCTTTCTGTTTCCCTTCTTCTCCTTTTGGGTTTTTTTTTTTTTGGGTTGTTGTTGGACTAATTGACATAATAATTAAGCACTTTCATATTAGGCTTGGTGATATGGGGACCACAAATGTGGATCAAACAAGGTTTCTGCCCTTGAAGGTGCTCAAGAGTGGGAGCATTTGGATAACTGGTGGGGGAAGAGAGGCAGAGCAAAGCACAAAGGGAGAGATGACAGAGGAGGCTGGAAGGTGAATTTGGATCACATAAAGAGGGCTTTGACAGCAAGGGTGAAAAATAGGTATTTTTTTTTATAGGAGAGTGGAAACCTTGGTCAGTTTGGGATAAACACTTGTTTGTTGTGAATGGCATATTAGGAAATTTTCATCATTAGTGCTGGGCAATGTGGAATGAAAAGAGGGATAAGGGAGGCAGAGGGACCACAGGAAGCAGTTTGGCATAATGTAGCCTTTTCTCAAATAGGGTACAGGAGTTGGGGTGAAGAGAGAGAAAATAGCAAACATTCTGGGTTGCTTTCTCAAACTCTCCCCCATATCCCACCTCATCAAGATTTGTATTACTTTTTCCCACCTTTCCAGTGTGAGAATCAGGACTTCTCTGTTCCTCTATTACTTATGTGTGTGTTGAATTTCTCAGGTGCACCAGAAAGTAAAATAGTTGGGAACCACTGGCCCAGCATGTAGTAGCACTCAGTATCTGTGGAGTGAGTGAATATTTAGATATGCACTGGTCTTGGAACTGGAAGGTCCAGGTTCAAGGCCCATTTCATTCTCTTATTATCTGTGTGCCCTTCAGAAAATCCCCAAATATCTTGGGCTTCAGTTTTCTCTTCTATAGAGCGTGGGTTTGGACAGGATGTTCTTTTTAAGAAAATATTTTAAAAAATAGAGACAGGGTTTTGCCATGTTGCCCAGGCTGGTCTTGAACTCCTGGACTCAAGCCATCCACCCACCTTGGCCTTCCAAAGTACTGGGATTACAGGCATAAGCCACCATTCCTGGCCTGGACAGGATATTCTTACAAACTCCTTCCAACCGCAACGTTGTTATGTGATTATATGAAATTGACATAGCCAAGGTATGTGTGTATATGGAGGGAGTGGCATGGACTAAGGTGCTGGCAATCAGCACAGAGAGGATAAATGTGGGAAATATTTTAATAGAAGAATTCATATCATCTGGCTTCAGTTTTCAACAACATTGTTGACTAGATAGCCCAAATACTCTCTTGCTACAAAATATGTGGACTGCTTCATAAAATTGACAGACATTTCCTGAAATGTTTAGCTGAGCTTGCAAGAAAGGGGAAAAAGTCTACATGGACCAAAGTAAGGGGACTGAGACCAAGAAATATAAGCATCAGATATGCCGTGACTAACCCCAGAAGGTATGGGAAGGGAGGCATATTGCTTGTTTGTCCTGACCTGGGTCCTGGTTAGAGAAGGGAGAACTGCCTCTGAGAATTTATAACTACTTGAGCTGGAGTTTGAACTCAAAACATCTGCATGTTACAAGAACTTCAAGCCAAGAAATTAACAAAAGATTGATCTCCATCAGGTGATACTCTTGGAGTGCCTGATAGAAGCAAACAGGAAACTGCTCAGGAGAAACATACCGTCACCCAAGGCCACAGAGTATTGCTGCCCAAGTAAATCCCCACTGAAGTTGAGCTCACAAGCTAAAGATTATAATATGTAACAGGAAACAATGTGCCATGAATGAGAGTAGAGAAGACCCTGAAGAATTACAGTAAGATTCAACAAGTCTAAGTGACAGCCTGGATGTGTGGGGAGGGAAGAAGCAAAAGTGAATCCCACAGAGCTGTAGTTGCTTAGATGAGTTCAGCGAATCAAATAACATTGCTATTACCAGAAATGTGGAAGGGTGATTTGATTTTAGACAGACTGTATTTGGAATGGTGGTGGGACATCCATATTGGGGTATTCATTAGAACCATGGGGCTGCCTGACTTAGAAGCCATTTACGTAGGAATAATAGCTGAAGGCTTGGCAATGAATGTACTCTCTAAGGAAAGTGTTGAAATAGGAAAGAAGAGAGCTAAGAACTGCTCCAGGAAAACACGTTTTGAGGACCAGTTGAAAAAGAGGAGCAAATAAGGAAAATGAGCTCTTTGGTCTCCAATTCTGGTTGGGTCCTGGGTTTGGATTGATTTTCAGATTGTTTGGTTTTAACTCTTTCCATCTCTAGCCTAACATTCTCGTCCCTCACAGTCCCTAGGGGACGCTCCAATAAATGGGAGCAGTGTCCCTTGGGACATAGCAGGAACTTCTCAGCTAGGAATTATAGAGCCACACTGGGCTCTGATACCAGGACTACTACTAAGTCACTTCTTTGGGGTTCAATTTTCTCATCAGTGATGTTAAGCCTAGGTGAGTGTGAGGACAAGGGGAATAATAGAGCTGATAGCACTTGCTGGAATGCTGCTGGAGAGGACAAGATAGGGGTGATCAGAGGCCAGCCACCCACTGTCTGCATTTCCTCCTTTGTTCAGGTTGTGTGGTTTGGGAGCAGTTGCTTGAAATATGGGCCATTATGCTTTTCTTGCCCTACTCTTCATGAAAAGTGAAGTCAGGTGGCCCATGCCTAATAAGTGAAAGGTGTGGTGACTTAAATAGTAAGACAATGAGGGTCATCATTATCTTGCGTCTCCATGAATATACCACTTACTTATCACAGTGCCTGACAGTTCTCCATTTGGGCCTCTTCATAGGGTTAAACATTGCCCTCTGCAGGCTACTCTTCTAAAATGTTAATTCTCCTAGAAGAGGTAATATTAAATCCTTTATCACAAATTAGTTTCTTAGATACAAGATACTTGGCCACATGAAAGCACTTAACACCTGGGGAGAGAAACGGATGGGATTCTCTGAGTTGATCATTTTGTCTCTGGTCAGTTGGACTGTGCGGTGGAGGGTGAGCATATCTGAGAGTGAAGGGGTGAAGAAAGAAGCAAGAGGATCAGAAGCTGGTTTGATCTGGCATCATAGGGCTGTAAGCTCTCTTAATTCAAGAACAGCTCAGCTCAGAAGAGAAAAGAATGAAGACCCCAGACACAGGCCTTCCTTCTTCCTTATCAGAGAGGGGTCATTGGAGCAGAGAGATGGAGAGCACAGCAGCCTTTTTATGCTCCAAGGTCTGCCCAAGATGGCCAGAAAAAGTGGAAAAGCTTTGGGTAGGGAGTTCAAAGAGTAAAAAGGGCCACCTTCACCATTACAAAGTCATGCTTTCCTCATCACCCTCCTAGCCTTCCTCTGATCCCAAAGCCATAAAGGGTTCACTTGGAAGGACAGCTGGAGAAAAGTGGCTGTGGCAGGTGCATGGCTGAATGGTAAGTAGGCTGATGCCTCCTGGAGAAGA